ATTCTATTCTATTCTATTCTATTCTATTCTATTCTATTCTATTCTATATTCTTCTATTTCGATTCTATTCTATTCCTATTCTATTCTGAATTCTATTCTATTTTTTCTATATTCTATTCTCTATTCTTCTATTTCTATTTCTATTCTATTCCTATTCTATTCCTATTCTATACTCTATTCTATTCTATTCTATTCTATATTCTACTCTATTCTGTCCTCATTTTACTATCCTATTTATTCTATTCTATTCCATTCCATTCCAAATCATATTCTACTCTATTTCTATTTTATTCTATATTTTATTCTATTCTATTCTATATTCTACTCTGTTCTTATTTTACTATTCTTTTTCATTCCATTCCGAATTGTATTCTATTCTACTTATATTTATATTATATATATTCTGCGTTCTGTGTTTTCTCTTCTCTTCTCTTCTCTTCTCTTCTCTTCTCTTCTCTTCTCTTCTCTTCTCTTCTCTTCTCTTCTCTTCTCTCTCCTCTCCTCTCCTCTCCTCTCCTCTCCTCTCCTCTCCTCTCCTCTTCTTCTTCTCTTATTATTCTAGTCTATTCCATTCTCCAAACCTGATTCAAGGGAGTCCTGGTACCTGTTTTTTTTTCCCCACCCACCCCTCTTCCCTGGTGCCAACCCCAAATCCTGACAGTTACCTTGGCAAAGCCGGGTGCTCACGAGGTTGTAACCTTGAGGACAAATGCAGGAGAAGTGGCCGGGTTCGTTCACACACTGGTACTGGCACAAGTAGTTCGAATAGCTGCATTCGTCCACATCTGAGCAGGAGAAGGGACAAAAAGTAGGATCGTTACAGGTCGGCCGGCATTACGACTACGACTGAGAAAAGAATTCCAGTTGCTAAGCAAGGCGGTTGTTCAAGGAGCTATGCCCAATTTTACACCTTTTTTCCCATGGTTCTTAAGCAAATCACTGCACTCTTTTCTTTCTTTCTTTCTTTCCTTTGTTTTTCTTTTTCTCTTTCTTTTTCATTCTTTCTCTTTTTTCTTTCACTGTTTTTTTTCTTTCTTTCTTACTTCCTTTGTTTTTTCTTTTTCTTTCTCTCTTTTTCCTTTATTTTTCTTTCTCTTTGTTTCTTTTTATTTCCCTTTCTCTCTCTTTTCTTTCTTTGTCTTTCTTACTTTCTTTGTTTCTTTAATTTTTCTCTTTCTTTTTCTTTTTCTCTTTTTCTTTTTTTAATTCTCTTTCTTTTTTCTTTCACTCTGTTTTTCTTTCTCTCTCTTACTTTTTTTCTTTTTCTTTCTTTTTCTCTTTTTCTTTCTCTTTGTCTCTTTTCTCTTTTCTCTTTCTCCTTTCTTCTTTCTTTCTTTCTTTCTTTCTTTCTTTCTTTCTTTCTTTCTTTCTTTCTTTCTTTCTTTCTTTCTTTCTTTCTTTCTTTCTTTCTTTCTTCCCTCCTCCTCTCTTTGTTTATATCCTGCCTTTACTAGTGATTGTCGACTGCCAGGACTTCTACTGTGTGTAAAAACATTGTAGACTCTCTGGCCTGGTATAGGTAGTCCTTGACTTACTACGGTGACCATTCAAAGTTATAATAGCACAGAAAAACGACCGGGTTTTTTCCGCTCTTATGACCGTTGCAAGCGTCCCCCTGGTCACCTGATCAAAATTCAGACTCTTGACAATTGGCTCCTATTTATGACGGTCGCGGCGTCCGGGGGGGGGAGTGTCATGCAATCCCCTTTTGCGACAGCAAAGTCAATGGGGAAGCACAGATTCACTTAACAACCGTGTTGCTTACTTAACAACTGCAGTGATTCACTCAACAACGGTGGCAAGAACGGTGGCAAAATGGGGGCAAAACTCACTTAACAAACATCTCCAGCAGAAATATTCAGTTCAGTTGCCATTCATCAAGGGCAACCTGCATGCCACTACATTAAATAATAATAATAATAATAACAACAAGGTTATAATTCACAAAATTTTAGAATGTGCAGAGATGGATAGGCTCACACTGAAATTAAAGGATAAGGAGGACTCAGAATATTATTTAATTTGGAACATTTGGTACCAATGGTTAGACAGTAAAGTACAATAAAGAAAGGTTACAAAAGGAATTTAAAAAGAAGAAAAAAGGGAAATAAAATTGGAATACTAGCAAACAGACAGGATGAGGGAGAAGTTATAGAAATTGAGGAACTGCTAGGAAAAAAAGCGAGATTTAGATAGACATCCAGATTAGGATTTATAATTACCTAGATATACTGTAGAGATATACAGAAATATGCAATAATGAATGATATAAATGTGTTCCCTTCCTCCTCCCATACTTACGGAATATTAAACTACAGCACATTGTCTATAAATACTCTTGATGTTTGCTTTAGATATATATATACATATATTAAGTGTCAATGATATTCTTTTTTCTCTCTTTTTTTCTTCCCTTTTTACTTGAATTAGTGACCTATACAGATGATATAGCTTTGTTTATTAACATTAAGAACTGTGAATTAATATAGTTAATATGAAAAAAAACCTGTTAAATTCTAAGTGTACATATGGTACTTAGTGTACTGCCAAGAAAACGATATTGAAAGATGTTGATATAATTTCTATTACAGAAACTTTTGTAAAGCTTTTTAACATTTTACTTTTTGTAAACTTTTTAATATCCTGAACTTTAATAAAGTACTTTTTAATAATAATAATAATAATAATAATAATAATAATAATAATAATAATATATTTATAAATAACTCAAGGCGGCGAATTGATCCGTTTCTCTTTCTCTCTTTCCTCCTGGTTTCCCCACCGCAGCAACCAGCAAAGAGCAAAGAGGAAGGGGGAGAAGCTTGCCACCAGGTGTGGGAAGAATAAAGGGGGTGGGGCTAAACTAGCCTACCTTTGCAGGTAAAGCCGTTGTGGTCTAGCTCATATCCTTGGTTGCAACGGCAGATGAAAGTTCCGTAGGTGTTGAAGCACCGTTGCTTGCAAGGGGCTCCCATCTCGCACTCGTTCACATCTGGGAGAGGAAGTTGCAAAAAAAAGGTCAAACTTGGCATCCCATAATAATACTTGACCCTGAGGGTTTGTACGCTGCTAAAAGACTTTATTTTCCCCCTTTGCGATTTTATTGATTTTTCTATTGTTTATGTTTTGTTAGTGCTTTACTAACGTTGTGTTGTCCGGGTTGTTTAATTTGCTTAACAATACATGAATACATTCTTAATCTCCACCTCTTTTTTTTCCCAACCACTGGTAAAATAAAGTCCATGTTTGATAGCATTCTGTTTTTTTCTTTCTGTTTAATCTTCAGTGCAAGTCTGTCCATTGCTTGCACAGTCTAGTATCTTTCTAATTACCTCTTCATCTCGGCGGTGTTTCTTCATTTGTTCCAATATTGTGCAAATACAATCCTCGCTAAATAGACTTAAAATATAGGGAGTCTTTGGGGTTGCAGGGCCACCCTCTACCTTTAAAACACTCCCTTGGGTCTCTTAAACCTGCCCACCAGGGCCACTAAATAACGGATCAGCAGAAATTTCGGGCACGATTGCGGTCGTAAGTCAAGGACCATAGGATTTCCAGGGTGCGTGTGTGTGAATTTTCTCTTACCGACACATGAGCGGTTGTTACTGGCGAGCTGAAATCCAGATTCACACTGACAGGTGAAAGATCCTGGGGAATTGACACAACGGTGTTGACAATAGCGATAGCGGCATTCGTCGATGTCTGTAGCGGAAAAGAGGGGGGGGGAAACGAGAAGGAATTTCTGAATGGGATTATGACATTATATCCACCCTGCTCTGCCTCTGGACATGTGCAGAGGGTTTCGCCTTCTTCTCTGAGACACTGACTTGATCCTTTTCAGATTTGAGTTGTTGTTGTTTTTTAATTGCCCGAAAAATACACACAGGTTGACCTGCTTTCATGGTTCGTAGAAACCTAAGAATGCTCCAACGAGCCAGGTTTAGCCCTGCACAACATGCGAAGCTCCCCAAAGAAATCAGGATTGGAGCTAGTTTAAAATCTAACTAAGTTTCCTGGGTTGTGTACATGTAGCTGTTATACATTTTGCTGGTAAAATGTGTGGGGACATCATACCCAAGGTGGAAAAATGTCCAAAAAGATGTTTGTGATAATTAAGGTCCACATGATACATTAAACAACGTCCCAGTAACAGAATCCCAGAGTTGGAAGGGACCTTGGAGGCCTTCTAGTCCAACCCCAGGGTGGGATACAAAATAAACAGTTACAAAAATACAGGTGAAGCCCCTTTTATTCCTTCACTTTGCTTCCAAGCTCCAAATATCCTTGACTGGAGACAAAAAAGCTGCCATACAAGCAATAACAACAAAGAGGAAATGCTGTTTAAATTATAAATGAAAAACAACACAAACCAGGCATGATAAGGGCTGGAGAACATCCACAGATATCAGAACACACGCTGGGAAGGACGCCAAACTCAGAGAGGAACCATAGAGATATTTCCAAGCTTTGTTTCCAGCACTGGCCCATACGCATGTCCGTCCTCTTATCCAGTTGTCACAGCTGCAGCCCATGAAGAGGATCATGGCCCTCTCCTCCCCAATAGACCACGTTTTACCCTGATCCTCTCCTCCCTGCGTGCCCTAGGATGGAGAGGGGATGGGCCTGGGTCCTCCTCTGACTGCCCAGCCGGCCTCTGCCCTTCCCCAGCCTCCTCCCCAACCTCCGGAGCCACACTTCCACTCCCTGCCGGCTGTTCCCCCTCTCCCTCTGAGTCAGTCTCCACCAGGGGCATGACACCATCAGAATACAGAATAACAGATTTGGAAGGGACCTTAGAGGTCTTCTAGTCCAATCCCCTGTCAGAATACAGAATGACAGAGCTGAAAGAGACCTTAGAGGTCTTCTAGTCCAACCCTGTCAGAATCCAGAATACCAGAGTTGGAAGGGACCTTGGAGATCTTCTAGTCCAACCTCCTGCTCAAGTAGACCGTATACCATTGCAGGCATTCCGGTAGTAGGGCTATGCTGTAGGTACAGGAGACACCTGAGCTCCAGCAACACACTAAGCAGTGCCTGACATAACCCCGTTTCAGGCGGGGCCAGCGTGTGTGCGACACACTTACCTACACACTCCGTGCCAATCTTCCGGTAGCCCTCCGGGCACTGGCAGTGGAAACTACCGATGGTGTTGATACACTGCTGGCTGGGCTGGCAGTCGTGCAAATCATATTCACACTCGTCCACGTCTACACGGGACACACAAAAGGCAGAGCAAACGTCAAAGGTTTGTGAGGGGGGAAAAAATGGCGGAAGGGGAGTGGAAACTTGCAGGGATCTCGTGGGAATTCCATACTCCCCAATAGTCCCATCCTGGAAGAAAATCGGGATTTTATTTCGGGTGCATCTTAAAATCCAGACTCTTTCTGTCCATGAAATACACGTAGTCCTCGACTTACGACCAACTCTTGAGCCCAACTTTTCTGCTGTTATATATATATCTAGATTTGAGCGTGGATATTTAGCATCGGCAGTTGGAAGACGGGTGGACTTCAACTCCCAGAATTCTGGGCCGGCTGGCTGGGGAATTCTGGGAGTTGAAGTCCACCCGTCTTCCAGCTGCCAAAGTTAAGGAATACAAGGCAGCCCTCCACACTCCCAACCCCAGTTGAGCCCCAAATGTATGATGAAATGTGTTTGGCGAGTTTCGTCCCATTTTACGACTTTTCCTGCCACATTTGTTAAGTTGAAAACCCTGCAGTTGTTAACGGTCATTAAGTGAATCTGGCTTTCCCACTGACTTTGTCCGAAGGTCGCAAAAGGGGATCATGAGACCCTGGGATAGAGCGACCGTCATAAATGTGAACCAGTTGTTGAGCGTCCCAAATGTAAACCATGCGACCATAAGGAGGCGACAGTGGTCATAAGTGTAGGAGTCACTTTTTTTCCAGTGCCGCCGTAACTTTGAAACGAACTGTCGTAAGTCGAGGACTACCTGTGCTGCTGTAGAATCTATATTCAATTTATATTCAGCAACATCTGCATAGCCGGGTTTTTCTTTACCATCTCGGATGCAGCCGAGTCATTTTAACACCTCCAAATTGTGCGTTAAATTTTTTCTTTCTGGGAATTCGGCTTTGGTGGGATTCAAAGTTTTTTACCACCGGTTCTGTGGGTGTGGCTTGGTGGGCGTGGCAGGGGGAAGGTTACTGCAAAAT